CCAATATGGACCCTCACACACCATCATACCCCATTTGGGGCCACACACACTTGTCTGTGTCTTTCTAGGACTGATGGACCTTACTTGGTACCTCTCTGAACAGTCATATATAAAGAGAATATTAAAAAGTTTCCAGTATGAGTCTATTTAATTCCTTCCAAACTTTGTTAAAATTAAAGAAGTATAATTCCATTAATGTGTCTTCATTATGTTAATATTCATTTATGTGTATGTATGTGTGCTTAGTCCCTCAGTTGTGTGGCCCGCCAGGCAAGAATACTGGTGTGGGTTGCCATTTCCTTCTCCAGGGGATCTTCCTAACCCAGGGATCAAACTTGGGCTTTGTATTGCAGGTGGATTCTTTACCATCTGAGCTAGAAGGGAAGCCCCATATTCATTTAACAAACTGCAACTTTCATACTGAAGAAGTATCTGAGGATCCCATTTGAAAAGCTATTGGTCAGGTTTAGTCGGTATTCTGCTGAGCTGCTTTTTGCATTTGTTGACTTTTTTCATCCCTAGAGTTACCTTTAGATAGGTATAGCTATGTCCTCTTTGGTTTTGCTTTTAGATGAAGGATGTGTCAGTTTAAATAGACAGAAGATGTGAAAAGCAGACATTATGCAGAGGAGGACACTTAAAGAAGTTAGGCTTTGGAAACAAATCTGAGTTTAAATCCTCACTTCTTTACTCACTGGTGGCTTCGCCAGAGCTGAACCTTATCCTGTCGGCAGTGATAGAATGGATGTGAAGAGAATGCTAATCTGGCAATCAGATAGGTGATGGAAACTAAAGTCAGGCATGGTGCATTTAAAGCATTGACTAGGTGTGTTCTGCTCTTTGGCGAACACAACGGGAGGTGAGACTCGGCTTCTGCTATCATGTCATGCAATGTGTGGACGATAGGATTCCAAGACAACATGGGAGTCCAATGAAAGAAACCCACACTAAACAGAAGTATACATGGTGGCTCGTGGGGTCCATGAGGAGGAATTCTGCTAAGAAGAGAAGGGGCAAGAGGGGGCTGCCTTTTTAGAAGAGTTGGCATCACGGCAAGTTATGGATGGATGAGAGATTTCATCAAGTGAGAACATGCTCAAAAGCAGAGAAGGGACCGAAGTAAAAGGTACACAGCCTTTGGGAGAATACAGTGAATCAGGTGAAGCTGAATTGAGGAGTATACCTCTCTCTCCTCTCTCCCTCCCTTCTTCCTTTCATCCCTCCTTCCCTACCTTCCTTCTTTCCTTCCTCCCTCTTTCTTCACTTCTTTCCTGTCTTCCTTGTAATATTCTTCCATCCCTTTCTTCCATCCTTCCTGCAACAGTTATGTGCCAGGCACTGGGAATATGTGCTGAACCAAATATTTAGCCTCCTTAATTGAGCTTAGACTCCAGCCCAATGGGGGCAGGTTTTCTTTCATTAAGAATATAGATTTGGGAGTTAAATAGAGGATCAGCAAGTGACTCACAGCTGGCTATGCAGCTAGAAAGCTGTCTCAGTAGACCAGAAAGACAGTCTTGAAACTTTTATCAAAAAACTGCCATGGCACTGAAATGATGGGGTATAGGAGAAGGACATGGCAACCCACTCCAGTATTCTTGCCTAGAGAATCCCGTGGACAGAGGAGCCTGCTGGGCTGCTGTCCATGGGGTCGCACAGAGTTGGACACGACTGAAGCGACTTAGCATGCATACAATTAACTGTTATCAGAGTTCAATGAAATTATTACCCAGAATAGTAACAGGGTTGAGAGCATGATCTAGAGGCCAGACTATATGGGTTTATATCTCAACTCCAGTCCTTACTAGGTGTTTTCATTTGGAAAAATTGTTAAGCCTCTCCCTACCTGTTTCCTTATCTGTAAAATGGGGATTGTAGTAGCACCTCTCTCCTAAGGTAGCCAGGGGAATTAGATGAGTTAATATGTATAACTTCTTAGAAAAGTGCCTGGCACATATTAGTCCTGGATGAATACGGCCATGAATATTAAATTACTTCTTCTAGTACACTAAATTAGAATGAACTTCCCAAAGAGGAACCAGTTAGTCCCATTTTTTCTAGAAACAATAGTTTCAATAGTTGTGTAGAGGTGAACAGCTTTTCAGGAATATAAAAGAGTTATACATATTCACATATTATAGACTGAAAGAAAATAACAGCAATTATTGGCTTTAAACCAATCTGACTATTGTTACTTTCCTTTCCAAATTTGGGAAGAAATTTAAGTGAAAAATATATATATATATATACATACTTATGTATGAAATTTTAAAGGAGAAAAAAGAGTGCTCAGCAGTTGACATATTTTGTTCAAGATTCAGAAGTACCTTACAAACTGCAGTCCAAGCCTTCACTATTATTGGGGTAGAGAGAGAAGCCCCAGGACACTCATCTACTGTTTTTATTGTCCAAGCTAATGGTCCATTAACACAGTTACTTTAGTCTGAGCCTGGTAGATAATGAGTGTCTTCCAGGGCAAGGAGTGTTTCCTTGTGGTGGGAAGTAGTAGTATTTTTCCTAGGGGAAGAATGTGAAAAATCCCACTTTTTGCACATAATGGTAAAAATAAGAGAGCAGTATACAGTGGGTGAAGAAATTATCAAGATGGTGTCAGTGTTCAAAGAGCAATCTCTAAGTTCATAATTGGTTTCATAAATTTTATTTCAGTAACGGTTTGTCCTCATTAGCTGTTCAGTGAAATAGTGCTAATTTTAAGGTTCATCAGCATATGAAGAATATACATGCACTTTCAGACACACTTACATACACATTTGCACTATTAGTGAAGTAACAGAAAACCATAGTTGCAGGGAGCTCATTACAGATTTTGAGCAGTTTGTCCTTCTTTAAAAATAAACTTCAAAAATCTCAAATTATTTCTTATATCCACAACAGAAAAATCATTTATATGATAGTAAATGATTGAGCCTCCAGGTGTATTGTAATCAAGAGTTGTTCTTTTTTATCCTAGCTTCCTGATATAATTTTAAATGCATTGATTGCAAACAGCCAGACATTTGAATTTTAAACCATTTTAAATTTGGTAACACCAAACAAGTGTGAAGCATCAATGTTTCCTTTTTTTCTTGTTGGGGTCTAGTTGACTTACAATGTTGTGGTAGTTCCATTTGTACAGTAAAGTGATTCAGTTATATATATACATTCTTTTCAGACTCTGTTTCCTTATAGTTCATTGCAAAATACACACAAATTGGACACCTTTGCCTCATGGGTTTAAATGATGCTTTGTTTTCACCTGTGTGATGTGATTAATAAACTGATAAAGGCTAACAGTGTATACAGACCTATTAGCAGCCATCTAAGCTGAAGATTAGTTGGAAGCAGTTTTCTATGTTCCTTACCAGATTGTTGTATTTAATGAAGACTTTAATGGGCATCAAAACTAAACAAGACTACAGACACTGATACTTCACACTTAGCTGGAAACACCAAATTTTAAATGGTTTAAAATTCAAATGCCTAGTCATTCGAAATAAATGTGCTTAATGTTATGTCAGGAAGATAGTGAAAAAAAAATAAAGCTTCAGATACGTGCTCAAAATACAATACTGATTTATTTGTAATGATATAATAATGTAATGATAAAATGATATTAACTAGTTCAGTTATTATTCATGCAAATTTGTAAAAATAACTACTTTTTAATAAATTAATCTTCATATTAAAATGATTAAAAATGTCTTCATTATAGAATCCACAAACTTTGTCATTTGGTTTTTTTTTTTTTTTTTTTTTAAGAGAAACCAGTAAGTGACTTGAGAGAATGAAGTATTTTCAATTCATTTTGATATTTAATCTTTAACAAATGTAGAAGAATGCACAAGGTTCAAATCATGCTTAAAATCATTATATGTAACTTATTTGTGGTGAGAGACCAAGGCAATGAGGGAGAGAGGGAAGTTATGAGTAGTGAGACTTTCTGGGGATTCGCATATTCACACTCCAGGTAAGTAAAGAGCTTAAGGAGGTGGTCAGATTCACCCAATGGATTCTGACTGTTGAAGCTCATTTGTTTTTTTAAAGGTTATTTAAACTGTTTAGGAATTCTTCTGACAAGCCATATGTTGTAACAGCCACAACTGTCACACCCAAGGAGATTGTGCGGGTTGTTTTGAGTTTCATTGCTTGACTTACTGGTAGACCATAATAGCAATTCTAGCATTGTTTCTGTCTCAGTGATGCAAAAGTGAGAACATGATTTATTAATTCTCTCAAGTTGTTAACACCCTTGAAAGACTGTACAATAAATCCTCTCAAATGTTGATGCTTTGGACACCAAATTATTGTCTCCACTGAATGGTGGTTGCTTATACAGTTTGTGAGTTTCAAAGATACTCCTTCAAGTACAAATTCTAAATCTTGACGAGAATGGCTTCATGGATTGCTCGTTAGATAATAAATAGCCAATAATATCTGAGCATATGAAATGTAGCAATAACAGATAACATACAGTTTTATAGTTTCCTTATAATTATTTCAGTGTGTTAAATGACATTTTCACAGATGTTCTTATATAGCTTCTTTATTTACTTTTTACATTTTTTCACAAAAGGAGATACTTCCCTTTTTTTGCAGTAGCCAAATGTATTAAGAGCAAAATAAATTTGCAGGCAGAGGAGTCCTCACCATGTTTCTTCAGAATGCATTTAATTTCATGCATGTGTGAAAGATGACAATGTGATTCCTCGGTACTAAATATTCCTCAGCCATTCACACTCAGTAATGGTTATCTGGAATAAAGCTGGATTAAATTTGCAGAGTGGTGAATTACTGAAAATAATGAAGTTGAGGCAATTCATTAATCTTTATCTACTGGTCTATTTTTTATAAACTGAATGAAATGGAAAAAAAATTCATTTGGGGACCGATCAGATTGAAAAGGGTCTAATGTGAAGAGAAACATGGGGCTAAAAATGTTTTTTTTTTCTTTTTAAATTATCCACAGCACTTTTTCTTACATGCCTCTGTTTTTCTTTTAGTGGCAAAGCATTTCTATAACACTGGTTGAGAAAGTTCAGATGATCGCTGTAATTCTAGGATCCCTGTTCTTAATAGCGAGTGTGACCTGGCTCCTCTGGTCAGCCTTCAGCCCCTATGCAGTGTGGCAGAGGAAGGACATCCTTTTTCAGATCTGCTATGGAATGTATGGTTTTATGGATCTAGTGTGCATAGGTAAGACCATGATGTTCAACGCTAACAAACTGTCAGTAATCTGTTTCTTCCAGCTCTTAACCGTTTCCATCAGTCGGATCGAACCTAGAATGTGGTGGTTCACGTGATCTTGGTTCTCTAGCTCATTAACTGCCCGGGGCACCACAATCCACCACTTTTCTCAAAAAGCATAGTGTCTCTGTTCCCAAGTAATCTGAAAAAAAAAAAAATGAACAGGATAATGCCCTTTTAAAGTGGTTTATTTTGCATCGTAAAGAAGGAGGAGTTGAAATTATTTGGGGGTGGGCGATGGAAGGATAGTCATTTAATTTCTAAGGAAGAACAGCATCTAAATCCCCCTCACGAAGCTGGGAAGGTGTTGACTAATGTCAATGGCCATAGTGTGCGTCCGGGGAGAACACGGATACCTGGAGGTCTTAGGTCGTGGCCTGGCAACCGCAGACTCCCCGCCCAGGACGTAAAGAACTCCTTGGAAGGGTAAGGACTTGGGGACAGCTTTCCTTGCCGTTCTGTGCCGCTTAGTTTCACTTATTACATTTAGTGGTTCAGAAGAGGCAAAGGATGGGACACTTTAGCCAAAATAGACGCTACAGGAAAGGTTCTTTACATGTTTCACTGGCCCAATCGCACTTCCCTTGTGCCATGGGGAAAACGGAAGCCGATTCAGGCAGCATCTCCTTGTTGTGTATGAGGTGCCACAGGCATGCGGTGGTGACCACTTGGCACCAGGGGATAGGCATGGGGAGCAGCCGCACCTTACCCAGGAGAGCCCCCGCTCCCATGTGGCGCAAGCTTACGGGGTGTAAAACGAGGAAAGTACGGCCCGAGGACCACCCTTGGCCGCAGCAGCATCTGCAGCACCTTGTAAAGAAATGCACGTTCTCAAGACCCGCCCCAGACCTGCCAAATCCAACACTTCAGGGTACCCCCTCTCCAGCCACCGTCTGTGTTCACAAACTCACTGACAGGCAGATGAGGTGAGAGCCACTGGCTTCAGGGAATGGACTCGACCTACGATCAAGTGCCTTGGCTTCTAACCCTGGCCTCTGCTTGGACAGGTCGACCTTGTCTCTCTCTAGTCCTTTTTTTTCTTCCCCCTCACCTATAAAAATGAGAATAAGCTTCCACAGCACACAGACTTAAATAAAGGAAAAGACTATTATAAAATAATTATGTAACTGGGAATTGTAGATTAAGTGTGTTTAAATAAGACACAAACACTGAAAGACTTGAAATCACTTAAAGTAATGCCTCTACTCACAAAAGCCTTCCAATTAGCAGCAATTTCAATATTCTCAGTCAGTTTTTCTAAGAGAACTTTGTACATTTAAAAACCATGATCAGCTGGAATTTCACCTCTTTTTCTTCTTTTCTCCATTGTTACACAAGACTAGTAAGAAAGAAAAGTATAAAAATTTCAAGTCAAGAAGGAAAAAAGAATGGAGTAAGATGTCATGAAAAATATGTAAACTGAGCAGATGTGGCCTGAATAATTGGGCTAATCATGTACATGAACAATCTGCATTAAATGTGATAATACATATGTAGGCATTTGGAAATTCCAGCTCTCTATTCAAATAAACCTCTGGGGTATGGCTCTAAATTGAGATGGATTACAGAATTGTTCTACAAATCCCTCAACAAATTCAGAAATAGTGTTTTCTGTCTTTCAACATATAAGTTATAAAATGTGCTATTCCATTGATATTTAGAGATGGAAAATGAAAGAACCATTAGGCTCCCAATCTGACCTGAAGGGAAAAGAATTGCAGTTGACTTTATTACAGCTCTGAAAGGGACAGGCCTTTCTTGCTTAGGAAATCATCTTCTTGAATTTCAAAGCTTGCATTTAATATTGAGTTTTTAGATCTTAAAGTTTGATTGCTGATGCCAGCCTTTTAATCAAGATTATTAGGATTCTGGTTTTAAGAGCACATACATAGGAACTAATGATCTTTTTGATAACATAAGACGTATTTGGGCCTCCCTTTCAAAGTGTAGGTGTTTGCATAAAGTTAAGTTTCTTAGGAAGAAAAACCAGTGGACATTTTCCTGGAGAAGCTTTGGAGAGTGAGTTTTTAATCTAGGTTTTAAATATTGACAATCCTTTTCATTGTCTCATCGAATCCAAATCCCATCATTCAATAATTTATTTGTATATTTTGAAAAGTATTAAAGAATTCAGATTGAACAACAGTGTTTATTTCACTTTGCAATGTCATTAGTTAGACCCAGAAGTGAAATGAAAGTCACTCAGTTGTGTGTGACTCTTTGCCACCCCATGGACTGTAGCCTGTCAGGCCCCTCTGTCCGTGGAATTCTCCAGGCCAAAATACTGGAATGGGTTGCCATTTCCTTCTCCATTTTGGACCCAGAGAAAAGCTTATTTTTCCCCTAAGAAATTGGAAACCTATTAGAGTTAGAAAGCAAATACATGTAGGCTACCAACAGCCAGCTGGATCATGGCAGGTAATTATTCTTGCTAACATTTCAAATTAATTAAAATGTCTGCTAACTAAATGTAGACAGTAACAAAGTAGCTTACATTGATTATACCTCAAATATAATCATGACTGCAAGACCAGAGTCAGAGTGAAAAGCGTACATCTTTGTGTCCAATTTGTTCAATTAAATCAGCTTTCTAGGTGTCAGACACAGTGCTAAGTGCTGGGAATGCAAATGAGAGCCAGTCACTTTTCTGCCCTCTAGGAGCTTCCAGCCACACAGGCAGGACAGATATAAGTAACTAGAACTCAGCAGGATGTGCAGTGATGGACTTAAGCACAGGAGATGGTAGTTGAACGAAGCAGGGGGAGATTGACACTGGTTGTTTTATGTGGGAAGGGAACTATTTCAGGCAGATTTCAAGGGGAAGCAATAGCTGAGCACGCTGGTGGATGAAGAGATGCTTGGCACGTGGGGAGATGGTCCCCTTGTCACTACTGGAGGCTGTAAGATTGGCTCCCCATTTGGAAGGCTTTAAGGCTGCTGGAAATATTCCCTTATTCCTGTTCGTCTAAGCTTTTCAAACTTATTTATACCTAAACGGAAAAGGAGCAGATTGACAGCTTCATAAATGTTCTTCTTAAAAAATATTTCTGTCAATTCATGGATTATTCCAGAATCAAAACAATGTGATAGTCCAGTCAGGGTAAGTAATGTGTTGTAGTCAGTCGGTCGCTCAGTCTTGTGTGACAGTTTGTGACCCCATGGACTGTAGCCCGCCAGGCTCCTCTGTCCATGGGATTCTCCAGGCAAGAACACTGGAATGGGTTGCCACTTCCTCCTCCAGAGGACCTTCCAGACCAAGGGATGGAACCCCCACCTCTGGCGTCTCCTGCATTGGCACCATCTGGGAAGTCCACATAATGTTTAGGAAGAGAACTTGGGGAAATTTACTTATTCCCAAAGTTAATTTGTTATTTTCATTTATTATCAACTAATAGATCTGCTTTCCCAAGATCCAGTTTCTTCTTGCTGTTAAAGTTTTGAATTCTCCCAAAGGTCTGGGTACCGTGATAGTTTAAATACCTAGATCAGGGCTGTCCAGGAGAACTTTCTGCAATGAGTTAAATGTTGTGTATCTGTGTTACCCAGTACTGTAGACACTAGCTCCATTTGTCTGTTGAACACTTGAAATGTACTTAGTGTGAATGAGAAACTGAATCTTAAATTTAATTTTATTGAAACTTCACTTAACCACCTGTGGCTCGTGGCTACCATATTGGACAGATTTCTAGATGGTGGGATGGTAAATGTGTAAGGGTTTGACTGACAAATTTCACCTTGTCTTTATAAGCAGGTTGTACTTCCTAAATGATGAAGTAACTCTGTTTCATGAGATGAATAAAGTGAAAATGAGTGCAAGAGGATTGGGAAAAGGGTATTAGCAGTGAAAGGGTGGTGGTCCAGAGGTAGACAGAGAGCTGTCAGAGGGAGCCATCTTAAGGAAATGGAAGTACAGAGAGATGTAACTTTAGCTTATATTTGGGGAGCTCTTTTAAATATTTAAGTAGATGGCATTCAGACGATGACTATGTACTAGGAAAACTAATATAAAGGATCTAAATCACCAAGATGCTGTAGCCCAGCGGCAGCAATTTAGGGAGAAGTAATAGTCACAGTAGGCTCACAGTGGCTCCCTCCTAAGAAGTTTTGCACAGTGGACACAGAAAGATAAGTCAACTCAGAAATTAAAAGCAAATGCCTGGCAGAAGCCTCTGGGCACAGAACCTGGTTCTCAGCTCCATACATGGCACATAGAAAAAACAACACTCCCGCTTCTGTCGGTCATGTCCCTCTAAGGATGCTTGGACCATGAGAGGAATATGTTTCTGAGTGACTCAAAGAAATGAGGGATTGAGATATGACCATAGGATGCGGAGTCATCTGATGAACTTGCATCTGGAAAGTGATCGCCGTTACCAGGTCCCCTTGGTGTCTGGTGACCCTGAGGAGGCGAGTTCATTCTCTCATAGAAGCAGTAAGCTAGAACGAAAGTCTCATCATGTTCCCTGTTACGTGGGATTCCCGAAGTAGAGGTAGCAGTGCTTATACCTAATTTCATGCACATGCCAGGTTAGTGCCAAAACCACGTCTGGAAGATCTGTATCTTCCTTGGAATGATAAGGGGGGGGGGTGATGAGGGTTATGGCTACAAAATTTAGAAATCTGGATCACTGTTGTTCTTTTAAAAAATTTTGTTAGTCATCCATATAATATAAATATACACATACTCAGATTAAAACACCTTTCGTGTTTACAATTGAGAAATATATAAAGTTTAAAAAAAAGACACTTTCCCTCCCATTGCCCTTTTTCATGTCACTGCCTGTGCAGAAGTGTCCCCTCTCCAAGGTTGATATATATCTTCGAGATCTTTTTCACAGTTTCCTTTTTTGACATGGTGATCGGTAGTTTGGGTTGCATTTAACACCATTAGAGTGGTTTTCTTAAAATCCATTCTATGACCATCTCCTTGGAGAAGGAAATGGCAACCC